TATATACATAATCTAACAATCTAGAAAAGTGGAACAGTTCATTTAACTATTTTGTTATTTAAAAAAATAAACTATTTGCAATTCAACCTCGGGTACCAGTCATCTGCCCGAGCCGAACGCCAACTCGAGCAATGCTGACTCCGCCGTTGCTCCTCCCCTGGATCTACTTTGTATTATCTTGTTTTGATTGTAATTTGTATTTTGATGACCCTTTGTGATTTTTGAACTACTTGTGCTCTTTTAAATTATTTTGTTCGAATCTTTTCTGTTTCTCCGTTTCTTTATCTTCGCTCGCACTATGATCTGGCAATCTTGACTAACTATTCGACTGGGTAACTGAAACTTGTAACCTGATATGTCTTTGTTTGCAATGAACCTTAACCTATAACCAACACATTTCCCACACATGCGTTTGTGTTTGCACACTTACTTTTAATCAATCATTATCATCTTCACGGTTTGAACTGCGATTTAGACTGGTGGGTATAATATCCTATATCACTATTGTATTTAGAATTATAATAGAAATTGTACCTTATTTTTATTGGATTGAATCTTGATCGCACAAATATCATCATTATTAGTATTATTATTTTTTTTTTTTTTGGAGACAAAGCCAGTAAAGTTAACAAATCTTCACCTGACCAATAGTGAAGAACAATATAAAGTAAAAAATATCAATTCTAATAAATAATATTAAAAATATAATTAAGTTTTTATACTTAGAAATATATATTATAAAAGTAATAAGTAAGAATTTTATAATTAATAAAAGTAATATAAAACTTATACTTATCCTTGTAAACGAGCCGAATCGTTCAACGCTTATTAATTTTTTGTGCTTATTAGTTCTGTGTATAAGTTTTAGGTGATAGACAATAGATATTTTTTGTGCTTATTAGTTGTGCTTATAGTTCTATGTGTAAGCTTTTAGGTGATAGACAATAGTTATTTATACTTTTTATCAATGTGGGTTAGAACTTAAAAAAAANNNNTAAAAAAAAAAAAAAAACTTGGTTATTCTAATTTTAAATAACTTTTATTTTCTATTAGTTTTTTTAATATAATATACAAATATCATATTACATCTATAAAATAATAATTATTTTTATTATTTACAATTTAATATGTAAGAAATCTTACTCAATTTATAAATTTAATTACTTTATGCCATTAAAATTCTCAATTTTGAAATACTTAATAATCTTTTTATTGGTTACCCTATTTATATGTAATATACATCATTTCTTTCTAATGATATTTGAGTTAACCAATGTATTTTAAATAAAGTAAACATAATATAATTATTTATATCGACATAAAATAAATTATAAATTCATGTTAAATCAATTTTATGAAGTATAAAATACCATAAGATAAACTCATGGTACATTTTTCCATAGATTTAAAATATTCATACTAATAAGAAACAAATACAAAATTAATGTAAACTTACAACCATTACCAACATTAACTATCTGAATTAAAAGGATAAATAAGTGAGTTGTGTGTAAAACTATTATCCCTATACTATATGAAAGAGAACACTTAATGATTGTAACATATATTTTCAATAAATATGAAACGAGTTAGTTACTTAATATTTTATCAAACAATGTAAAAATTTCTAAAGCTTTTAATCTCATAACACTATAAAGGTACATTTTTATCAAATATATTTTTTTTTCCAAAACATATTATTATTATAAGAAATTAATAAGCAGTAGTAAATAGTATTTAACGTCTGTGATTATATTAGTTGTAGCCTAATAAATAAGATATTTTATAACAACGTCATTATATAAAGCACGTACCAAAAATTGGCACAATAAACATAAATGTGCTCTAATTCTTTTAAAAAATAAATATTATTTTTGAATAGAATAAGAAACAACTAATACAATATTTATGAAATGGAAAAAGAAAAAATTAAAATTTTCTTCCAGAAATATGATTACCAACATCTAGAAACAAGTCTTTTAAAATTAGTATTTTTTTTTTTGTTGCTAGCTTTTAAATATATGGACTCTGTAAGAAATTGGTTTCTCATAAGTAATGAATGATCTTATATTATCAAATTTGAATTTTAAAATAACTAAAAATTACAAAATTTGTGATACATAATGTAGATTTTAATAAGACTTTTCCTCATATATTTCAACAAATGATATGCTTCTTAATATTATCTCATTGTTTTGTTTTGTCATTGTTAAAGAATCAAGAAATGATATTTATCTTGAATTGTAAGCATTATATATGATATAAAAAATTAGACAATAAAGGCATTAAAAATGTTATTAGGCACATAAATATTGAATTCGAACGAACATGAAAGATATTATGATAAACAACTCTAAAATCATTGCGACAACCAGATGATCAATGATTTGCAAACAATAGTTCTATGGTTCGTTTATCTTCAAATAAATAACATTGAAAAAGAAATATCGAAGTCTGATCAAAACATTTTGGAATGTTTAAATGAAGTTGTCATTTTTTAATAGAAATATTTCCAATTTCATTGGTGTATTGTGCTCGAATATATGTTAATTACTTTAGAGTGTGTACTTTCATGTAGTGCGACGATTTCAAAAAATAATTTAGCTCTTCGAGAGAAGTAAATGTAACCAACATTTTGGAAGTCAACTTTCATTTGTAGATGAAATTCATTCCCACCCAATGGACCGATGCCTCAATGGGGCATATATCAATCTGTCTATATAGAGAGAACATGTAACACCCCACCTTACTAGTAAATCAGAGTAGCGCATTTAATCGCAAAGTCTTTGAAAAACTAAATATTTTTACTTGGCGAAACTGAATTGGGGGTGCTACCGTGAAAATCTTTACTTAACTTTAGAAAAACCGTTGTTTTAATCTAATAAAAACGTCCGGTTATTAAAACTTTATTTATCTGAAAAGTTTATCAAAATATGATAAAACATCAAAATCATCAAGCATCGTCAAAAGATAGTCAAAACGTAAGCGGAAGCGTAAATATTAGTTATACAGTCCAAAACACATATATATATAATGTCCTGAATGTCCCGAGCTGCTCCGTCATGTCACACTCCCGGACCGACCTGCTGACCTGAAAAATAAGATAAAACTGGGGCGTGAGCACTAGGCACTGTGCTCCGTGGAAACTCATACTAATGTAAAACATCATAAATAATAACAATATCATGAACTAAGCATATAT